GATTCACTAGATATGGAAGAACCATCACCAAATTCGTCTTCAGACCTCTGTCCTTGGTCATTTTTGGGTGTCTCTCTTATATCCACCTGGTTTATTGGCTTGACATCTTTCTGTGGGCATTTGTGAGAGGTATGACCTATCTTCTGGCAGTTGTAACATTTTTTATCTTTGTGTGGATTTTCCACCTTTGATGTATCTCCAGTAATGCTATATCTCACTTTTGCATAGGATTGTGATTCTTCCTCAGTGTTACTCTTTTTATGCTGATATTTCCTCCCAATCTTTGTCCTAGTTGTTATGTCCTCTAGGATATTGATGATATCTTCAGTGGAGGCATTTCTGGTTGCTCTACTCTTGACAGCATGCTCTAAATCCCCTCCACATTTTTTCAAAATTCTGAGGTGCATGTCTTCTTGTGACATGAATGGCCACAGTGCTTGGAGTCTGTCTTTCTGAGCTAGGACCCATTTAATAGGTGAGTCTTTTTCTATGTCAAAAATGCTCTCATCAAATCTATTTTCAACAGTATACCTCCAAGCTGGGCTACCCCATTTGCTGAGGATTTGTTCCTTCCACCAACTCCAAGGTTGTTTACCATGGCTAGTTCTAATGTCATTGAACCATCTTCTGGCAGCTCCTTTAAATAGGCTGCTCAGCCTTCCTGCAATAGAAAGGTCTGATAATTCAAAATCTTCTTTAAGTAGATCTATGGTCCTCATGAACTCTAGATGGTCATATTCTCCTTCACCTGTGAATTTTGGCCAGTCTTTAATTCTAGGGATCTCAATTCTGCTCCCATCCTTATTGGATTCCCTGATTTCTGAGTTCTGATGGCTATGTAGCATGTGGGGAGGGGTCTGTCTATTATGACATTCCTCAGGGGTCTTGGAACTCTGGGGATCATTATTTTGAAAATATGGGGCATTAATGGTTCTCTTTATCTCTTGACTCTGAGAGCTATCATTAGAGTTTTGAATGATATTGCTGGTGTTCTGAGCATACATTGGTACATTGGCCATTTTTTTCAGTATCTCCTCCAGTTTCTCATTCAATTTTGAGTTCAGTTTAATTTCCATGTTATCTATTCTGGTGTTAATATTATCTTCCATTGTACTAAGTCTATTATTTATGTTTTTCTCCATGTTTTCTGTTTTTTCCAAAATAGACATAATATTTTCCATTTGTGCTTCAGAAGTTGTATCACTATCTAGGTGGAGTTTCTCTAGTTTATCTGTGATATCCTTAGTGATAGACACATCATGTTTGTTTATTTTGGAATAAAGGTCATTCCTTAATTTTTGTAACTCTAGCAATAAAAGATCTGAATTCTCTGTTTTCATGGTATTCTCTTTGTTTGCATCTCTAGATTTAATGTTATCCATTAATTTGTGGTGATTTAATACAATGGTTTTCAATTCTTTTAATGCTTGTACTATGCCTGGTATCTTCCTTGCTTCATTAATGGATACTTGGAATTCCTTATTGTACTCAGCAACTGAAAGTGCCAGTTGTCTCACATCATAATGATTGTTTTGAGATGTTTGCTTAATTTCATTGATCTTTTGATCAATATGAATAATGTTTTTAATGAGAATCTGGTCAAAAAATTCTGTGTTCTCAATTTCAGAATTGTGGATTTCAGAGACTTTAGAACTTGTTACAATAGAGGGTGTTGGGGGAACAGGGACTCTAGATGTACTATCTACAGGATGAGAAGTTAGAAATTGGCTGCGTCTCTGAACTCAATCATGGCTTGAGCCAGGTGAGTGATTTTCTTCCATTTTCTTTTTTCCATTTCTTTTTCCTTCAAGCTCGTCATGAACTTGTCGTTCTTGACACTCGCTTTGTCTTTGTTCATCGAGTTCTTGGGGATCTTGTACCCCTTGAACATGTTGTTGTTCACGCTGGTCGTCGCCGTCACCGTGGTCAAGTTCGCCGCTACTGGTCTCTGACTTTGCCCAGAGCGCGGCTGCTGCTTTTCCCTGTACGGGTCCACCACTTCGAGTTTCGCTAAGGTTTCTTGCCAGGTCAGGAATGACCTGACGAGGCGGAACGTCTCGATGGTCTGTTTGACCAAGTGGGGGAGGAGGTCGTACTCCTCCGCGCTCTTCGCGTTGAAGTAGATTTGCTTCGACTTCTGAAGCAAGTCTATCGCGTTGAGTTGGCCCGCCGACAGGGCTTTCTCGCCTTGGAACGCTAGAGTTCAACGATGTCAGTTCCGATTCTGACGAAACGGGTCGGGACGATGTCACTAAAATTTCGGAGCCGCGTTTACCGCCACCTCTAGGTCTTCCTCTTCCCCTTCCTCGGCCTCTGCGTGTTGGGGGAGGGTTGGTGCCGTGGTCGACTCCTGATCTAGTGGATGAGACCATGGCGTTATTTTGTAGTTGTTTTGTTTGTAATAGTAAATTTAAAGGTATTTACTCTTTAATAATTCTTTCGCCGCGGCTATCGCGTCGAACTCCTTCTCAATCACACGGGAGGGTAAGCTCGCCGGAGGGTCTCTTCTGTTGGCCTTCTCCTGTAAGGGGCTGGCCAACGCGTTCGGTGGGACGGATTGAGTTCTGCCTACGATTCCAGACACTACAACCTGATGTCAGCTATGGATAAGATCGCTCAGTATCCTAGTTTGACTCTTACTTTAACTGCTGATCGCTGTCTCTGGTAAGTGCTCGCTTAGATGTTTTATAACTTGATCGATTATTATCTCTAATGAGGGATGATCGGTTTTGGTTAGCAAGCCGATCTAACTAGTCCTCTTTGATGCTGTTGATGTTATTCTACAAACGAAAAGCGGTCCTGATTAGCAAATAGCTTCTAACAAGGTCACTTGCTGTTTGAGGTAGAATCTTTGAGAAAGGGTAGGTATGAAAAAGCACTGTTAAGTCTCTCGCCAATGAGATTGTACGCTATGATTTTTCCTATCAGCTGCTTCGTACAAGTTCAATATGTGAACACTGCAGCGTTAGATAGATTCAGTGATGTTTGGAATTTGAAATCTTTCAAATTCTGTAGTCTATTCTAGAATGACTTCGTTGCTTGCGTGATCGCTCCTTCGCTCTATTTTTCTTCGCGGTGCTCTCACCGTTTTCTTTTCTTTTCTATTTTATTGTCGGAAGCAGTCGAAATAGAACGAGGCTGAGAAGAAAAAATAGATTCTTCTTATAGAATTCTCAGGTAATAGAATTTTGACAGTTTCAGTACCGAGATATTTCTAGTCAGAGAGGAGGATTTCTCAGGATAAGAGTGTTTTTAGGAAAAAAAAATCTATAGAAATTTTCTAATGTATATTGGTGTTGAGAAAATTTCTGTCAAGAATTCAACAGGTGAGAAGGGAGAAAAAACCAAATTTTTTCTACAGGAAGCTCTTAGAAAAATTTCAACACTGTGAAAATTCCTGTCTACTGAATTCTTGTCAAGGACAAGTTTTTTACAGGAAAATGCTGAGTGTGAGAGAGGATAGTGGTGATTGAACCACAGGAATTTTTCTAGAGAAGGTTTGGAAGTTGCTGGAATTTTCTTATAGAAAATTCTAGCTCTATGATCAAGGGATCAGGCAGATGAGGCCCCCACTTGTCAGCTCTGTGTATGCTACACTGGTTTAAATAATATAAAAACCAGGTGCTATCACTGTGCTGAAGGACTATCAAAGAAAAAGATTACTCTTTTTCACCCTTTATATGTGGTCCAAATTCCACAAAGGTTAAGTCCACACTCCTTTAAGCTTATTTGTTTCCAATGAACCAAATAACAGGAGATTATAACAATTAATAAATTGTTATAGTTTGGATTTTTAAGCAATAATAATTGCTAAGAAGCAGCTGGCAAGCACTTGAGCTGATTGGCTACTTGTCAGAGGTGGTAGTCTTGCAGCAACTGCTTTATAAAGAATTTTAGTGAGGGATGAAAGGGGAATTTCAAAGTTACACACTAATAATTCCAGTAGTAAAAGGAAGATTGGGATTGGGTTGACTACTCTAAAAGTAGGAGGAGAATATTCACTGTACTTACTATAGTAGCTGTGGGTGAATATGCTGAGGAACCAATCTTAGGCCACAAATGGCCTCCTTTTATATTCCAGAGTCCCCCTTGGGGGCATTCTTAGAATATTCTAGAATGTTTATTTAATGTACTACAATACTAATTCTTCTCATGATGTAATGAGAATATTGTAGTAGATTAAATACAATTATCTATGTCCCCATGACATCATGATGCATTGTTATAGCCAATTACATCATGTGTCTACTTATAATAGAATAATACTGATGGAAATTACCACACACTTGACAAAGGTGGTAATTTCTACAAATTTGAATTATAGTTACACTTGTAGTTGTAACTACATTTTTTTATTTGCTTTCATCTTAATGGTTATATTATTTTTAAAGTGTTTTATATTTTTATTCCTACTAGCCTCTGAGGCTCTTGAGTTGTGACAAAGTCCTAGAAGGAGTAGGAATTTGGGGATGGTTCCAGTGAGCAACCCCCTTTAAAATATTATGAAAAGTTCATTTATAAAATAATGTTCTAGGTTTTCTTATTATTATTGCAAGTAATGTATTATTAAGCAGTCTTTTGGATACTCTTGAGGATCTCTAAGGCTGACAGATTTCCTTGTTATCATGTTATTGATTGTATTTATTTAAAAAAGAATATATACTTATAAAGAAATGAAATATCTTCAGTTTCAAATTCTTTTAGAGTTACAGTCTCGAAGCTTGATCACGATCTCATTTAAACAATTTTGAACAAATTCTCGAAGGCAGAACTTGATCTGATCTACTCAAGAAGATGGAACCTTTTTCTCGGAAAGACACCATGGACAATAAGGGAATCGCATCTATTCCTAAATTGAACGGCAATAATTACTCAATTTGGGAATCAAAGATGAAATTCTTTCTTGACTCTCGTCAACTCATTGATGTTTGTCTTCAAGAGCAACCGTCCCCTCCGACTGATCTTATTGCTGCAAAACATTCTTGTGCATTGTTTCATCTCAGCTCCGTTGTTGATGACTCGATTTATAACTCGGTATTCAAATTATCCTCAAATATTACGCCTTAAGGCGTTTGGATGACTTTGAAAAAGAAATATGCTTTGAAAACAATATTTTCTCTGTGCAAAGTCTGGCATATGTGGGATACCATTCATTGCAATAGAGGCTAGTTTCTTATGTCGATTGATGACTAGAATTTCTCGGAGAATTCAAGACAATTGGATACGATGTCACTCAGGATGTTTTTGCCGTTTGCATCATTAGTCGAGTCACTACAATCAAGCAAGATTTAATGGAAGGCTTGATGTTGGACAAAGGACTAGTTTCTGATCTGTTTTGACTACTTGAAAAATTAAGGACTCTAGCTGTTCACAAACAAGTAATGAAACCTGATAGGTCATCGATTCCTTCAACTTCTGCTTTGCCTATGGATTCTCAAGAAAAACGACCTTATCAACATCCATGGGAGCACGGTCATGATCCAAAAGAAAAACCCAAGCAGAAAAACTGTTGGTACGACAATCCACATCAGAAGCCAAAGCGATTTCAATCTAACTATCAGCCTGCTAGAGCCAACATTACTCAATCCTCTCAAATTAATACTGTGCAGCAGCAATGATAACAACAAAAATGCAGTTCCCAATTTTAGTTATTTTAGTATTGTCAAGTCATCTCCTGTAGTCAAACCTGGCGCAATACTCGGCTCTGGCACAAGTAATCACATGTTCAACTCTTTAGATTTCTTTGTCGACAGCGAACTGGTTTTTATTTTTATAATTACAGGTGATGGAAAATCTAGAGAGGAACTTGTTGCCACTCAAAAAGGGACTGCTCTTATTCAACTTATTGATAATAAAGTCATCACTCTCAAGAATTCTCTATTTGTTCCAAATCTTACTCGAAATTTAGTGTCCTTACCTCAACTTATTGATGAGACTGTTTCAATTCAGCAATCTGGAAAACTCTTTGAAGTTGTTTCAAATAATCAAGAAAAACTTTTCTCTCTTGATCTTTCGAATCAGCTTTTTGAAATTTACGGCAATGTTTCTCTGGTTCATCAACAAACGATAGCCATGCTAACTGAATCAAATGAAATCACCGGATTTACCAAGTGGCACAATTGACTTGGTCGCGCTAGTAAAGATCGATTGAAAGTTGTGATACCATCGGGCGAGAGTTTGATAAAAGAACACTGTTGTGATTCATGTATGAAGGGTAAAATGGTTTGAAAAAGTTTCAAGCACCATTTCGATTCAACTTCTGCGGCTCTTGAAGTTGTTCACGGTGATTTAGTTGGACCCATTAAACCTTCATCAAACGGTGGTGCTTGGTATTTTCTAACATTAGTTGATCAACATACTGGCTACATTAATATCACTATCTTAAAGGAAAAGAGTGATGCTTCTGATGCTATTAACAAGTTCAAAATCTTCTATGAGAATCAAACCGGAAACCGTATGAAGAAGCTTATAATGGACGGTGGCGGTGAATTCTGTAACAAGAATTTATCTAGTTTGCTGGAAGCTGCAGGAGTTCAGCATAATGTGTCGCCTCCTTATACACCTCAACAAAACGGCTACAGGGTTGTCACACTGTTTTGAGGGCTGCTATGCTCACTTTAGTGGTGTGTTTAGTGTAGTTTAGTGTAGCAAACCATTTCTGCTCTTTTCTCATTTTGTGGAGAAGTTTGGTATAGAAAATCGGGCACGTAAACTGCTTTGTGTCACCCCCCCCCACTTTCTTCTTGCTTAAGTGTCTGTCATCTGACCCTGTTCCTCAAATCTGATTCTGATTAGATCTGTGTTATTGTTTCCGACAACGCAAGCAACACCGAGACTATGATTTCGGAGTTGGAAAGACTGGATTGGAAACGATTCAAGGGCGAGGGGCAGTGGATAAGATGCTTCACACATATCGTCAATCTAATTGTGAAGGCAATCCTTCAACCGTTTGCTTGTAAGAATTCCAAAGCTGGCACGCCTGAGTTTAATGACTTGGATGAAGAGGAGGATGAAGAACTCATTGAGAGGTAAGCTGTTTCATCTAAGCATTTAAGTATGACACTTAGACAATAGAAGCTGAATAACACTGGGAATATTTATTATTTTTAGATTCAATGAAGAGAAAGAGAACAGTGACTTGGACGATGATGAAGATAATCACCCACCGCGTGAAGGAAACAATGATCCAGAGCTCACAGTTGACGATGATCTCACTCTGGCCGATCTTGAGGGTGTTGAACCAGAAGACTCCAAGGATAGTTATACTTCTGACTCGTGTCGCCAATCCCTTGCCAAGGTTAGTTTTTTCAATTTATCTAATTATCTATTCAAGCATCTTTCATCCAACTCTGATGCACAATCAATGAAAATTTTTGTATCAACTTTTGGCAGTTCCGTCGAATCGCCATGAAACTCCAAAAGTCCCCAAACTCAAAGGCAAAATTCATCGAAATTTGTCAAGAAGCCGAATGCAAGACACCACACAATATTGAGCGTGACGTCCCTACTCGGTGGAACTCAACGTACATGCAACTGTCAAGCATTGTCCAATGTGAGGAAGCTATGTAAGTCCCATTAGAATTGTGGATGTTGATCCCTGATATTTATTATTTAACCAAACTTACACGTTATTCATGATAGCATCATGTGGCAGCGCGACAAGCAGCTTGGCATACCACGTGGTTATCATCTCCAACAAGCAGACTTTGACTTAGCGGGCAACTTAGTTCAACTTCTGCAACCATTTTACGAGATCACACTTCAATGATCAACAAAAGCCTCAGCCAGGATTGCCGACATCGTCATCATGATTGATCAAATTACGTCCAACCTTTCAGCTGTGATTGCGAACAAGGATCCCGATCAGCATCACCCTGTTGAGGTGTATGATAGTCTGCTACAATGATGTATCACCACAGTATGGAGGAGCTGTTGGTTTGACCCATGAGCACTACCACCCAACTACCCTGGCAGTCACAAGCGTCTGTAGCCTAGTTGGTCAAGGCAGCACTCTAGTATGTGTCTCAGCTTAGCTGAGGTTGTGAGTTCGAATCTCACCAGACACATCTTCATTTTGTCTGTCTCTACACACCCTCCTGCTTTACGAAACGCTTGTCGTGTGGGGCTCCGCATTACCAATAAGTACTACTCACTTACTGACTGCTCACCATTATACAGAATAGCAATGCGTAAGTCTTTTCTTCAGCTTTCATGTGATTGCATCTGACATTCCTGGCATCTAACAAATAATAGTATTATCTCTGAATTCACAGTTCTCCATCCCTTGTTCAAGGATGAATACTTCAAGCTGGCCCAATGGCCAAAAGAATTGATTGATGAGGCAATCAAACTCACCCACGAGATGTACAATAAGTGGTACAAACCTCAAAACACGGAATCAGTCCCAAGACCACCAGGAAAGGGACCAGCAAGGGTAAATATAATTTCATTTCTTACCTTCCTGTTTTAATCCACTGACCAAATCCTGCCCCAGCCGCAAACTGGTGTTCTGGCAGGTCTAGGTGCTGCTGCTCTTGCCCGAGGCGCGGAAGCCACAAACGACCCTGTCGACATATGGCTCACTGGTGGCCTGTATTTGGACGATGGGCAACCGATTGACGCGCTCAAGTGGTGGATGGAACAAAAACGGAGTGGAAATCCACATGACGGTCTTGCACAGATGGCCCTTGATGTCCTGTGTTGTCCAGGTAAGACTCACAATAAGTAAATTAGTAATCTCAAAATCAGAATGCTGATCATTGCTTCTGACTTTTTGTACAGCAACAACGGTTGATGTAGAGCGTACTTTCAGCTTTGGTAGAGACTATGTCACCACTAGGCGACACAGTCTCCACCCAAAATCAGTAAGCAGAGGTATGGTGTTGGCTTTTTATTCACAGAACAACAAGCTCAAACCTCTGGCGCTCCACGAATACATGGAAAAAAAGAAGAATGAAGCTAGGACTAAGGCGAAGAGGACTGGTGGGAGTCAAACTCAAAGGGTTGGTGGCAGTCAAACCGTTGCTGTCGTAATTGATTGATTAAATATCAGTATTATTTTATTTGATTTTTCCATTCTCTGTCTTTCCTTCTCTCAATCTCTTTCTGTCACTCTCACTGGGTGACATCAAAATTTAAAAATACAAATGTCATACACGAGTTAGCTGCAAGCAACAATAAAATTTCCATTCTATTTTTTTCCTTGTCTCAATCTCTTTATGTCACTGGTTCACATCAAAAATACAAATGTCATACACGGGTTTGCTGCATCAAAAAGAAATTGATTTTTTACATCTTTTGAGGGTCCTGGGTCACAGACTGTGAGAAACAAAAGAAAAAAGAAAAAATAAAGAAAGAACAAAAGAACAAATAATAGAACAAAATTAAATAAAAAAAAAGAAAAAAGTTAAAAGCACTTTTGGCAACTGCTCAACCAAAAAAACACTGAAAAGCAAAAAGAAATGTGTTGTTTTTTTCATATTTTTTGGAGGGTCACATACTGCACACTGCCACGCAGCAAAGGAAAAAAAAATGAAAGAAAGAAAAAAAAAAAATGAAAAAAATGAAGGCTTGCAGGCTGCGAGGACTTCAAAGTCAGTGTTTATGCAGCTCTCCACATCAGAAATTTGCCCAAATATCTTTCATTTTTCACTCTAGGGGGTCGTTTCTGGGGCGGATATCCGCGGATACCCGCCAGCAAATGCGGATGCGGATGCGTATGTGTGATTTGGCTGAAATTGCGAGCGGATATCCGAATCCGAACGGATATCCGGATGCGAAGCAACCAGCTCTAAACAAGATTGCTAGGAATCATGAATTTACCAGACTACCAGTTTAGTATTTTTCCCCATATGTTTCCATTTTACATCCTTTTCCAATATAATTCCGCTAACCAGCACACTATCTTATATCATCACTCAGAGCACCACTTACTACCTGCAAGTTTTGCACTTGAGTGCCAGGGATTTGTTGCCAAGGAATAGCTTTACTTGCTATTCATCTGTCCATACACACTACTTGGACCAAATATCCTAGTATCACTAGGCACCCGTAAGACTATGCTGCTCAAGTGAACCACTGCAATAAGTGTCTTAAAAGCTAGTGATCTCAGGAGGGCACCATAAACAACCCTGCTACCCGGGCCCCTCCTTATCCATTTAATTATATCCCACTACCAAACCAGCCTTATCAGCCGGTGTAGCTAGAAGACCTTCTGTCTTGGCATCACTGCGCCTGACAGCAGGCCATCAGAACAAGCTTTCCCCATTTGTTTCTACCATACTTTGAATTGAAACATGATTTGAGAAGGCAGAATTTATCATCTTCTCTTCTGTTTGGTTCTTATCATTAAAATACCAATGTTGATAAACCATCAGAAATCAACTCACAGTTTATTTCAAGGGATGCATTCAAAAAACAACAAAAAAAACAATCAGAGGAAGTTCCAGGGTGATACTTTCAAGTTACAAAAACAGCATATCATCCAACCTGCTTGCTCATTTATGGTATTCAAAGTTGAAATGCATGAAATCATAGAGTGCATAAATCATATAATCATAAAACATTTTGGCTGGGAAAGCCAAAGCTTACATAATCAGATTACCAAGATCCCCTGCAAACAAGGTTCTAAGATCTTATGATTTATGCGGTTATGATTTCATGCATTTCAACTTTGAATACCATAATTGTACTTTTAAGTGAAAGTTCCAAGGAAATCTAGTTCAGTTCTCAGTCATTTCCCTCTGTGAAAGAACATTACAGGCTCTTATAATACCATTTTGTTCTCTTACAATGTGTTTTTGGATTTTATTAAGAATTCAAATAGATTTGGAATGGATTGGATTGGAGACAAAGAGGCCTCTTATAGGATGAGACTGTTCTCTTCTGCATAGTCTGTTTTTCTTAGTGGTTGCTGAGCTTTATCAAGCAAAGATTGAAGCTTTTTAGAAGAGGAGGACATTGACAACAGGCTAGATGGAACCCCCCCTTCATTTGATCTTCAATTCCATCTCCAAAAGGGTCGATGTTTCCTTGATTGGATGCATTATTAAATACTTGCTTCCTGTCGCACTTTCTGTGTTCTGAGTCAGCTGCTGATGCTCCAGCACGATCCTGATTATTTGACAAACGCCATCGGAACCACCAAGCACGTACACATTGCTCGGCCGGAAACAAAAAAGAACAGGAATCCCTGATGGTATCGGTCGGTGTTAGATAAGAGGGTTGCAGAGAATTGTAGGTTCTCGAGATCTGGGGGCGCTGTCAGGTCTGAAGAATCAAGAATCCAGGAACACAAGCTATACAACAAAAGAGGTCAGCTTCACATGAGTCGCGTTATAATCATCATCAACAACGTGTCCTTCGACTGCGCGATCTTTGCAAGAAAATAGCTGTGGTGTATAAATGATGACGCAAAAGAAAGACGAACAAGTCCAGATGGTATGTACCTTTACAACTGATCTCCAAACTTCACAAAAACAGTTTCTTTTTTTTTTGGTACATCTGGCTCCTTGATTCGCTTTTTTTTTGTGGGACTGGACGTTGTTATTTCGGCAGGAGAATCCGTGGACCATGTTGAAGCCAAGATGACCAAAACAAGAGTCTTGAATATGCTGGTTGATGAATAGAATGTTGTCAATAGAACGATCTCAACTTTGTAGTTCGTAGAACCCCCTCTCAAAAAGAACAGTCGTGCTCGGGCAAGCTGGAATCGAGCGCTCCTTGAAAGAGTCGTCAATGGATGGGATCTATATAAAGCCGCCCCATAGACGTTTGTCTTTTGTTCAAGTAGTTTAAAGTACATCAGCTTTTTGTCTCACTGGATCATAACTGAAAAAAAAAGCAAACAAACGGTTCCACTTCAAGTATCAAAAACCCTTTGCGATAGCGATGTAAGTTTCTTTCTAGTCCTCTCGACAGAAAGGGCTAGTTATAATCTCTGAGTCCGACTCCCACGACAGTCCACTCTCTTTCTTCTTCTTTTCTGCTCCAAGTCTTTTTTCTTTCTTTCTTGATAGTTTGATTGATATACGGATCTCCTTTTTTTCCCATTTAACTGGTTTGATTTGTTTTAGCTTTTGAATCAAATCCATCGATTAATTCCTACAATTCTCCAATAAACCGGCTGGAATCGATGATGTATAAGTTGACTTCTATGGTGAGTTGAGTCACGTGTCGATTGACTTCCGACCGACTTCAAAAAACATAACCAATTTTAATGATTTTTTTTTTCTTTATTACGTTTTGCAATATGAACGTACGATTCAACATAGAGGATGAGTGCGATAGCATTTATGGGTTTTGGTTTACTGGCTACGATCCTTTTGGTTTCCACACAAGTGAAGGCCCCATCGGCCGACTGTGTATCCAAGCCCAGTAAACCCCCTGGATGTCGTTCTTGACCATTATTATCAACTTCGAGCTGACTCCGGAGGAGCTCTTTGTTTCGATGTATCCTTTTTGCTCTTCGTTTCCCCTATCATCATGTAGGAATGTAGTAAAAGATCTAGTTTTTTTTTTTATTTCTTTCTTCTTGTTTTTCAAGAATCTTTGATCTGGATCTTTCATCGTCTTGCAATCATTTCGTTTCACCCCGACCAAAATAAATAACATGCATGCCTGATCGGTAACTCTTTCTTTGCCTTGTTGAACTGCCAGCGAATTATTATGTGTTGAGTGGGAGGTGTTGTGAGGACAGCTTTATCTTGACCAGGGAGAGTTGTCAGTTGAGGTTTGAACACAAGTTATAACTACCAGATGAATCGATCTTCAATAAATATGTCTTCATATGATCCACTGGAGCTTTTCGAACCAACTACTGGGGGAGGGTTGAAAGAAGAGGTTTTGGAGACCGGTCATCGGTGAGGTGGAAAGATAGTTATATTTTGGCGAAGCGGGTTGACTGAGGTTATGAGGTATGTATGCGTGAGGATATCAAGCGGTCATTGTGGTACTCAAGTACAGAAATTTCGACCTGCACACCTAAATATGTTCAGGATCAGCCTTGTTGGAGCGATTTGTTTTTTTTTTCAGTGTAAAACTGATGTTTGGCTCATGGTGCTCTCAAACCGGGTCGAGTTTTGAGTTGAGTTGGCGGGATGACTTGATGACGTCATGATACTGATTAATGATTACATAATGATCGAAGAAGAGAAGAGGATGGATTACGTAATCAGAGCATACACCTTAGATAAGTTCTTCGAAGAACCTGAAAAAAAAAAAAAGAAGGAAGGAAGGAAAGAAGGAAAGAAGCAGAAAAAGGAAACAGAAAAAAGAAAAAAAAGAAAAGAAAGAAAGCCAACTGAACAAAAAAAGAAACAAGACAGATGAACCAGCACTTCTCAACCTCAACCAACCCAACCCACCACCACCACCACCAACAACAACAACCTCATATTACCATCACAGTCACCCCAAACAAATCAGCCTACTTTGCTGGCGAGAAGTTCGAATGCACAATCGAACTCAAACACCATCAACAACAACAACAACAACAACAACCAACCAACAACTTAACCAGACTATCAGCAGCAACCTCAATCCTATCACCATCAACAACAACAACATCATCAACAACAACAACACCAGCAGCTGAATCAACCACTGGCTACTATCACCACCACCACCCACCAAG